CACTTGAATCTTATTTTGAGTGTCTTTCTTCCATGAAAGATTTTTTGCTTTAGTTTCCTTTTTGAAGTTACATGCACATTCATGTGTGTGCATCTAAATTTTTGGTTGGTTGAGGTCTGGTAGGCTTCTGAACTACTATTTTGATTCTCATAGTGAACAACAGATTAGTTTCAAGTCAGGGTTTAACTACCACTGTTGCTGGGCACCTGCAATGTGCCAGGCACACACTCACTCACATGAACTCTACCAAACATATATGATAGGTTTCATTTATGTCCACTAAATGATTTTCACAAGGGAGCTGGGAACTAGGACTGAAGAATGCTCTTAGCTGTTTTTACCACATCAAACTTGACAAGGTAAAGGTTTCCATGCTTTCTAAGTCTTTTCAGACCATTTGTTTCTATACATTAAAACATAAGTGACCAGTCTTGAAGAATCGTATTTTTTCCCAACATGTATGGAAATATATCAGATGATTTCAATAACCACAAGGAGGAGATGGACATGTGTGCACGCACTCACACACCCTGCCATGGGTGTGGGCGACTGCTGGTGGTGAGTAAAGAGGGGCTTTGAGAGAAGGACATGAACTGCTTTCAAGGGCGATCACTTTGCAACAGGAAGCATTTTACTTGTTCTTCTTCGTTTTCTTCTGCTTTCTCTTAAACAAAGAAGAGATTGTTTATAGCAGCTCAGATATATTTTATAACACATCATTAAAATGATCCAACCCAGGCAGCTCACAAGAGCCAGTTTTTTAGGTAGTGATCAACTTGTGACATGTAGAAGCCAGACAGGTTACTCTGATGATTCAGTCACTTTCATGAGCCTGGTAGGCACATATTTTCCTAAGACAAAATTAATATATATACACTAAGATTCTAAGTTAAAGGGCACATTTCAATATGCTTTTCTTTCTGCATCAGGGAATCTAACATGATCACGGAAACAGACTAAATGGCAGGGATCATTTTAATATGCACTGTAACCTATTTTTCCAACTTGTCATAAGCTTTAATGTTAAGGATTATATACTTTTTTGGAAAAAAAAATGACTGTAAAAGAAAAATGGCTATTCAAAGTGTCATCCTTTAAGTTGCCTCTAAATGTGACTTTTGCTTGCAATAATAGAGAACATGCACTAGAAATTCAGCATTACCTCTTCAACTCAAGCACTTCCCTTCTCGAGTGTTTGGAATAAATTATAAATGTACAGCACCTTGCGTACATCTTTTTTTTTTTCCTCTTCCTGCCAACAGATGGATTCTCCCTTCTGTTCCTAGACACTGGAGATGTCATCAGCTGTCATGAGGAAAGACAGGTTCCTAAATTCAGACCTTGAAGGAGAAAATCGTTTTACTTCACCTTAGTAAGGATTTCATTTGTAAATGTTCCTGCCAATTGCAACATCCTGAAGAAGACCATGAGGGAACACTGAAGCAAAGCGATGTGGCAGGAGGAAATGAGGTGGTGGCAGCGGCTGGAGACGCTGGGACCTGCCATCTGCGCACACATGAATCCTTTCAACATCACGCGTCTCTCACGATTTCATCTTTAGGAAAAGGTCACTGATGTTTATGCCTTCCACCCAGCCTGCTTCCATTGAAAGAGGTGGAGCTCAGTCACAAATGGAGTGGGAATGTCCTCAAATATGACTAAATTAAATTTCCCAGGAGAAAGTGGATGCGGAATCAAAAAGAGAGAGATCAAAGGCGGCCACCAAAGATCAGCTTCAGCTTATTCTGAATTCTGCTCTTAGCAGTCTTTGCTTCTGTATGATTGGCTCCCAAAGAATCTGAGGCAGAGAAAGAAGCCCCAGGACTCCAAGTGAGGGAAGAGCAAAATCTCAGGAATATTTTGCTAGTTCTCTTTTAACACCATATAATCATAGTCACAGTTAGTTTCCTTTTGACTGCTATATCTCATAGAAGTTTTTAATAATTTTTCATAGTCTTTTAAAGATATGCTGCTGATAAATACATGATTCTATGAAGTTATTTTCTTATATACACCAGGAAAGTTTTGGTATTTATTCTTATTAAAATTAGCCTTGTTATGTTGAGCCTGATTACTATACACTGTGATGAATTTGTCTGCGAGTTTCACAGTATATACCTAAGTGTAAGTTTACTAAAAGAGGGGCACATAGGGAGAAAATGAAAGAGTTCAGAGTTAGCATCTTTTTATTGTGCTTTGAAAATTAAGGAGGATTTTGATAAATGAACATGGCAGAGAAAGAAGCTGATTGTCCTATCCTGCTGTGAGCCCTGCCCCTGGCTGTTCACCCGCTTCCTTCTCCAGTGCCCTCTGTGTTGGTCAGCTTTTCGTTGCTGTGACCAAAACACTGGATCACAGCAACTTAGAGGAGATGGGCTCCTGATTTCAGAGGTTCAGTTCAGGGTCAGCTGGTTGCACTGCTCTGAATGGAGGAGAGGCAGAGCCTCCTCACAAAGGAGCACAGCAGAAGACAGTGCCTGGGCTTACAACAGCCAGGAGACAGAGGAAGACCAGGGGAAGGGGCTATGGGAAAGGCGAGCCTTCCAGCCAGTCAACAGTGACCACCTCTCGTCACGCCCATCTGCTACAGTTACCACCCTACTAACCCACTTCAACAGAAGGGACCAGTGAGGTTGTAGCTCTCATTATCTAATCATTTTACCTCTGAAATTTTCTGTCTAGTTCACCGGAGTGTGGGGGGAACACCTCATACCCAAACCATAACACCCCCCAAAATCTATCATACATAAAGATCATACTTGTGGGTCAAGGAAAATAAAAACATAGAATGTCAACAGCAGCACAAAGAACCCTGAAAGAGTCATCAACTTGATTTTACTTTATATTATAAGCTGTGGGGAATTTGAGAAATTCAAAACAAAAGAAGTTATTTTTTAACTAAATATCTCATTTATAAATAAAGAAATAAGAGTTAGACCATGGTTTAAAATAGATTCTCAACTGAGGTGATACCCCCCACCCATTCCTAACTCCTACCCAAGTCATTACAAAATGTGAGAGTTCAGGGGAAGGGATTGGTGTCAAGATAAATGGAGGAAGGTATTGACCTTTGATATCAGGAGCAAGGGACAGTAAACACACTGCAAATTTTCAGGCAGAGTTGACAAAGAAGAATTACCCTGCTGCAAATGCCAATATCAACCCCATCGCCAAACAAGAGCCATGGTCAAATGATTCTTCTAAATCACTCCATGTGTCCCAGAGCTGAGATTCAAACTCTGCCTTCTTTATCTTGTATTACTGCAGTATAGAATGTGCGACACTCAAGATTTAAAATCCTGCATGCTTGTATTGTAAAGCACTTGGTAAAAATGTGATAGAAACAGATTGATCAGTCATTTTCAGTTTTGCTTTTTATTTCCTGTCTGGCTTCTCTGGCATCTGTTGTGTGCTACTCTACAAAAATTTAGACAATATAAGAATCTGAGTGTTCCAGAAATTGCTGTGTTTGGGCATGAAACTTTTAAAGGATAAAAGTATATGTCATTTCATCAAGTAAACAGAACATTGAAGGCATATCCATGACTATTATTTTACTATAAATATTTTATGATAACTCTAGTTCTAAACACACTAACCTATGAGATATACATACTATTAACTCTTTAGTTATAAGGAAATTAATAATGAAGTATTTCTATATGTGGATTAGGAGTATATTTTATTTGTTAAATGTCTTATCATCCTTCCTAATAAGATTCTATCTCTATGTAGGATTCTGGAAAAAAATATTCTTTGATTCCAACAACATGAATGATGAGAAAACCCTAGGTTTCTTTTTAGGAGAAAACTTTTAAAATTCTACATATTTCTTTAAAAATTTCATGTAAAATATGACCTAAGTCTATAATTATTTTAAAATACAAAGTTTGAAAATATTCATGTCAATAAGAGAATAGGCTGTAATGCATGTAAACAATTGGCTTCATTTAACAAGGTACATCTAGCTTGTAGGAATGCACATAAAGAATGCTCCAAAGGGGCTGGGGATGTGGCTCAAGCGGTAGCGCGATCGCCTGGCATGCGTGTGGCCCGGGTTCAATCCTCAGCACCACATACCAACAAAAAGATGTTGTGTCTGCCGAGAACTAAAAATATATATATATATTAAAAATTCTCTCTCTCTCTCTCCTCTCTCACTCTCTCTTAAAAAAAAAAAAAAGAATGCTCCATATGTTGGGATTTATGGTTTGCTTGAGTTGTGCCAATGATTTGAGGAAGGGATTGTACTTTGCTCTTTCTTTCTCAATTGATTAATTAAGTAGACGGCATTGGCCAAATCTCTCACCTCTCCTGCAAGACATGATAGTGTATAATTCAGAGTGTGGAAAAAACACAATAATTTTCAGGGAAAGAGAAACTATATTTTTAGTTTATTAACAACAGTGTGACTTTGAACATTTTCAGGGATTTGAAATTTATTTTGATCAGGTTGATTATTTTGGAGTTGTACTGGGTTATTCTTGTTTTTATCATGAGTTACCATGTTGCCAACCACATGGCTGAGAGGAACTGTTTCAGGGCCCGTCTTCAGACAGCCCTCTTCTGTCATGTTCAGTGTCCCTTGGTTTGCTCCTAGCATGAACTCAAGACTTCCACAGGGATGTCTTATGCCAGTCATACATTGAAACTATGTCAAACTAGTTAGAAACTCTTACAAACCATCTATATCAATGTTCCATTGGTAAAATTTAATTTTCAAAATGAACCAAACAAAATTAAGAAGGGAGCAAAGAAGAATGCAGCTAAAATTCAAATTCTGCATAAAGAAATTTCTTCTCATTTCAGCTAGAGACAAAGGTCACTTCACCAAACACAGGTCTACAAAACATCCCTCCTCTCATCCTTACTTCCCCATTTAAAATTAATTTTACGTAATTACGTTAGTTCTATAAAAATAGTCTCAGATGCCTTTGTTTTTCTCCTAAGCCATATTACTGCTAAAAATAAACTAACAAAACCACACAAACACAAAAAAGGAAAACTCAAAATATATTTAAAGATGTGATTCAACAAAGACAAAATGATGTGTTGATCTCTTGGAATGATTCTGCTTTAAATGAGGGAGAAACAGTAACAATAACAGGAATGGTGGTAACATGGGGAAAAATTAATCTGATATCTGTGATGTCTCAGGCAGTTGGAGCTTTTCTGTAGGATAAAATAACATCCACTGAATGACATAGAATGGTGTATTTACTGTGAAATGTTGGCCATAGTCTCCCCTCCTCTTGTGTGGAAACCCAGCAGGGCTGTGCAGCTATGACAACCAAATGGGAATTTCTCACTTTTACATTGTAGCTCACTTTATCCCACTAAATTTTATCTTTTTTTCAGGTGACTTCTGATCCTTTCTGTGTGTACAAACATTAAAGACTTTTGCATGGTGCCTTCTTCATGGCTGCTGGTGGAGGGAGATGACCAAGCATGCGAATAACCCCATTTCAAACAGGTATGCTGGCTAGAGCTCAGGAGGAAGAGAAAATATCCTTAATCAGAACCATCAGGAGAGCAGAGCACTGAATCCTGTGGAATAGGACAAGAGTATTTCTTAAAGGCAAGAAGAGAAAGCTATGCACCAGCAACCAGGTTGGGTCAGGGCCTGGGTAAAAGGATCATTCCTGAAGGTGAAAGACAATAGGGAAGAAAACAGACAATGCAAACTCTCCTTGCTTTGTACTTTTTCCTCCCAATGTTCTGGAGTAAAAAGGCTCTTTAGAATAACTGTGAACCTCAGGCATATGAAATTTCAATACTTAATGTATTCTTAAAAAAAAAACCTGCTTATTGAAACTGAATATTAAAATATACTAAATTCATTTTAATATATATCAAAATATCGAACTACAAAAAGTCTCTTAAATGGGACGTTGGATGGCTGTTTTTAACCCCACATCTGGGCGTTCTAAGGGCTCAGACTCACCGCTGCTTTATAAATGGTGGATTAACTCCAGCTGTTTCCTTCCCTAAAACAACACCTGAGAGCAAAGGTGCTTACTACTGAACATGGAGTGGGCCAGCGAGCACCACCGCGGAGGACCCACAGCCTCGGAGCCGCGGGAAGCCCAGAACCTACCAGGAAACCCACCCAAATCTCCAGCAAGGAACTGCAGCGGCTCCTTCCGGAAACAGCCACCGACCTCCTGGTGACCCGGAAGCCCAGAGGAGAGGCAGGAAGAGACTGCTCTGGATATCATCTGCCTAGGACACACCCCCTGTGACCTCACTTCCTACCACTAGGCCCCGCCTCTTAAAGGTCCTTTTACTTCTCAGTCATTAGTGGCCCGGTTGGGACCAAACCTTCAACATATGGGCTTTTGGGGGACGTTTAAGGTCCAAGTCATGAAAATACAACAATGAAAATACAACACTTTATTCTCATTGGAGTCTTTTAAGATAAATATACAGGTGGATTTATTAGATCATTTTTTCTGCCCCCATTGCATATTTTAAGTAGTCAATTTTTGAGGAACTTAGAAATCATCTAATTCTTTTTTTACGTTAATTTACTAGTTTTAGATTCTAGTTTCCACAAGGGAGATCTTTACAGCCTATGTCAAAAGGTCATTTCAACACCATCCCAAATACTGTTTTATGGATTGTCAGCAATGAATCAGGTAACTTATTAAGAAAAGTAAGTTTTGTTATAGATCAGAACTCTTAGAACTTTGATCAAGTTGCAAATAATTTTAAGACAAATAATAACACTGATTATATTGAGTGTAAGAAGGATAAACCAATGGTCAATAAATAAGCTTTTGTGTGTATTGCCCCATTGATCCTTTAATATTGTATGATGATAATGTTATTGGATTATGTATTCATTTCTTCCATTATTGTATGACTATGACTTTAAATAATGCAAATGTATTAATTTGCAATTCTTAGAGTCATAAATCTGCATTAGGTCTCAGGGGCTCAAATCAAGTTGTATGCAGGTGGCCTACTCTTGCCTTTCCCAGCTCTGTGGCTGTCCTTGATCCTTAGCGCCATCTTGAAAAGCAGCATCTGCTCCCATCCTAATGTCTCTTCTGCTATTGAATCTCTCTGCCTTCTGAACTGGTTGCTTCTCTTTTTAATTTACAATACTGTGAGGATTAAATTGGGCCATCCAGATAATCCAGGATAATCTCCCATTTTAAGGTCCTTAATTTAATCACAATCTGGAAGGTCCCTTTTTCTGTGTAAGGTAATGTAGTCACAAACTCTGGGGATCAGGACCTGGATATCTCCGGAGTCATTATTCAATCCACCATGGTCTGCATGAACAATACCAATGTGTCCAAATAGGAGGCTGGGACACAAGTAGGAAATTAGGCTAAGATTGAGATGAAATGCATGTGAGTAGAAAATGTAAGTTCATCAAAGCTCAAGCACTTCCTATTATGTTATCCTGATGACTCAGGCAAGTAATTAAAATGCTTATATGTCATTTTTAGATTTTTTTAATCCAATGCACATTTATACATCAAATATTATTTTTCCCACCATGAACAAACAAAATGCATCTATCTGCTGTTTGAATTTCTGTCAAAATGTGATGTCCTTCCTGAATGCTTTCAACATTTTACAACTAATTTTCTTTTTCACCCTGCATTGACAGCCCAAATGGAAACATCAGAGATAACTGTATGACAGAGATGGGTCATCCGAGTGTGTGGGTAGACATTTTATCACTGGGCTGGGGGTGTGGCTGTGGTAGAATAGATTCTTAGAATGTTGGAGGCCCTGAGTTCAATCCCCAGCACACAGAGATGAACAGGTGGCACACACCCACACATCCACACACAAACACTTTACTAATGATTTTGATAAACATAACCCGTTAGTAATCTTTGACATATAACTATATTCTAGAAGTGGTGACCTGCTCCATCCTCATGTCTCTTCTGTGGTTGAATAGATTGGTGCATTTGCATTGCCTATTGTAATTCAGAAGTATTAGGAATAATAGCCACACAGCGAGTGCCTGTCCTGATAGGCTGATCACCCTGGGGGGTGTTCCGCTAAGTGTCCTGAAGGGTAAGGCAGAGTTTATCAGTCTCATTAAGCCAGGTCTCCAAGAGGGCATAGGCAAGAGAGTTTAGAATGTGTCCCTATGCAGCTTTCCTGACAATTCTTTTGAGCAAGGATCTTAGCGAGGAAGGGAGATCTCCTGTAAGTCTCAACCTGCACAGGAAATAGTTCTTTTATTATTACATGAGGATGAAAAGACCCTGTCCAGTCAATTCAACAGAGAGACGAAAAACTCACTGGGCCTGAATCCTCCTGTCAGTCATTCTCAGTACAGGCTGAGGGGCAGCGTTAATTTTCTCCTCCTCAATTTAGTGTGGTGAATTGCTATCAATAAGTATGGTGGATATCTTCAGCTTTTCCTAGGAAATAGTCTTGAGGAACAAAGACATTGGATGACGATACAATGAGTTTAATTATTTTGAAGTGCCCTTGTTTTTTGCACTTGGCATTTTTATTGGGACAGGTTGTAAAAAATGGAGCAGAAAAACCAAACTCTTGTTTGGGTGTAATGGAGGGTCAGATGTAGAGAACAAAATTAAGGAATTTGCTCCATCTTTGTTTGCATTTGTCTCTGATTTTGAATAAGATGGGACAGTTAAAGGATCCCAATTCAAGCATTTTATCTTTTTAATGTAAAGTCTACTGGTGCGGGGGTGGTTAACCCACAGAAACATTCCAAATATTCCAGCCAACTCCTTTGTCCTGGGGTGATGGGACAGGAAGGGAGGACTCACCTGAGTCAGGACCACAGACTCAAGGGTGAACTAATAGCCTTGGCATTTTTCTAGTACCTGATTTTGTTTAATGTTCCTACTAAAAGTTACATAAGTCCCTAGGCTAGGACTTTTAAGTGGTCATCTGCTACCAGGTCCCCTAGTGCCTTGCAAGAATTCCATCACTTTTCTTCTCACCTAAATCAATCCTCCTTCTTTCACTCTTGCCTTCTGTTGTGGTTTGTTGATTCCATCTTTCAAATCTGTGAGACAAAAACCCAGAAAGGACATGGTGGTGAGCTACTGGGGTCTTCTGTGACACTGGAAGGCAAAGCCCTCCCTTAAAAGCTCAACATGCTGCTCGCTCCCTAGAAATGGAGAAGCGTCCAGCCGTGCAGCTGTGGCCCTCGGTGCGGACACTGCCACAGGCTCTCTCAGCTATAGAGATCCAAAACTTATACAGACCTCATCCACCAACAGAAGCAGGGAATCAAGTTTCATCTCAAACACTGGTTTCAATACCAGCTTAAAAGCAAAACTTCTCAGTGAAGGAGATTCCAAAGATATCATAAGGTGGGTGACAACCTTATGTTGTCACAGATGCAACCTTGGAACCTCCCTGAATCCTGGCAAAATGTATCATCAGCTGGGATGGAGTAAAGATGCCAATGAGCGGTTTCATTTGCATTTCTGATTTGCTCCACGAAGTAGGGGAGACTTCTGTGGTCAGGCTGGCCTTCAGTGAGGGCTGTGGCATCCACAGGAGATCCAGCAGCACACATTCTTCAGCCTTGCTCTACTTAACAAGAAGTGTGGTCATGGGAGCTCCCGTCTTGTGGGGCAGACCAACAGGGCCTTACCGTATGGACACAAATAAGCTGTAACCATTTAATGCTGCCATATTTTATCTTCAGTTGAGTATGGACACAACCCCCTCACCCCCTGCCCACCCACACACACAGACCACGCATTCACATACACAACCTAATTTTGAAGCCTTTGGGAGTATCAGGAGTCCCCTCACTAGGAAAGAATTCATGCAGCAAGCCAAGACCTTTGGAGTCCTCATCCTGTTCAATACCCCACTATCCACAAACAATCTGCTGTGGAAACACTTGTTTCAAGGTTAGTGAACTATTCTAGAAAACAAAAATGTTCAGGACCAGAACAAATGAATAATGCGCACCTCAGATATTGAGAAGCGGAGCTCCTTCCCTTTTCTTCCTTTGGTAAGGTAGCTGTTGTGCGAGTTCTAGGTGGTTTCCTACCACTCTCCAGCAGCTGTTGCTTTGTGTTGAGTTGCATAATTTAGAGGTTAGAGAGAGGTAACAAATATCAATGTCTTCCAAGGTTCCATATGAAACAGTAGCTAATAGTTTATGCACCAACTGCATAATCCCCAAAGTGTGGTCTTTGACACAGTGAGTACTTTTAAACTCAAGAAGTTTAGAAGGCCTAGAAGCAGCCCCGAAAGCCAGTTTTCCCTCGGCCTCCTCCAGCCCTCTTCTGTCTCGCCCACCCTGCCACTTAAGCAAGACATGGAAACTGGAATTCCTCTTCGCCAAAGCCAGCCCTGAACAGAGAACATGTGACTCGTGCCTCCCCTGCCTTTCTGTGGAAGAGCTACCTTGTTGGACGGAGACCATAGAATCCCCACAGCTGAAAGGGTTCTGCCCCACAGGTGGAAGAAAATAGAGATAGACCAGCCCAGAGAAGTCAGAAGAATCCCAGGGAACGGCCTTGCTGGGTTCCCACTCAGTTATCTTAGGACAATCACGTATGTCCTGGTCCCACCACATTTTGACATCGCTGAAAGTGCTTCATAGGACTTGAGCTATGAAAAATCAGGTGGATTTCTCGGTATCTTTGAGTCTTCATTTTAAAGTCTCCATACCATGTAAAACCATGGTTTAATAAACATGTTATGATTTTTTTTTCTGTTAACCTGTCTCCTGTTTTGGGAGAGTTGACCATGATTCATAGGCTGGAAAAGAAAGGAATCATTCCTTTCAACCCATAAATACTCAGGACTAAGCACTTTAAATTAGAAGACTCAATCTTCCCCAAATCTCAGCAGGTAGATGAGGAGCATGCCTATTTTATAGACTAGAAGACTGAGGAATAAAGGCATTAAGACAATTGCCCACATATGAAATATTGGAATCATTGTCCAATATTCTAACTTCAGTCCTAGAGTGGTGATTTATACCCAGGAGACTTCAAAATAATCAAGCAGTATTGGCATGGGCTTTGACATTGTCTAGATGGAGTTACAAGACAAAGAGCATCGTAGCTGTAAGGTTTCAGCACATTTAGAATACACACAATGAATGGAGTGTGTCAGAGGGGGACACATTTGAAATTGTGCAGACAGAAAGTAGGCAGTTTGCACTACTGATCAGTAAGAGAGCTAACTACATAAGACATGTCGCAGATCTTGATCGCCATCTATAAATATTTT